TATATATATATATATATATATATATATTTTTTTTTTTTTTTATAATCATAACTCGGTTTATATTTGGTAGAAAAATTAAAAGATAAGATAAATGAATTTGTGGGAGTATGCAGAAGTCAAATTTTATGATAACAAATGTGAAAAGCAATTAATTAGACAAATATAAATAGTGAGATATATGAATAAGGTTAATTATCACTATTAAAGGGTCATAATACGTGTCCATTCCTTGAATGATACCGATTTGGAATATTGTTGGCTTGATTTTGTTGGTGGATCTCACAATTTGCAATTTTAGTTTCAAACATAAAGTGGATATATGCATTTCAACCACACACAAAGAAAAACAAAAAGATCACATCTACAGTTTCGCGTGACCACCACAGCACATGCTATTGTTCATTCTTGACCCTTCTGTTGCATCAGACAAGCGAATCCCCGCGTCTCGTAATGGACTTTCACTACCACTTAAGGCCAAGTGCTTTGATTTTTTTTTTTATTTTTTAAATTAAATATTTTTAAGTAAATTTTATAAAATTTTAATTATATTTATTCTTATATTTTATTTTAGCCATACATTACACTAAGTGAAGTAAAAGTTATAATACGCTCAACATTAAAGACTTAACATATTCAATGTGAAATTTACAAAATTAAATATTTATAAATAGTCTAATATTGAAGACACAATATCTCTAACAACTATAATTACTATAAAGATTGAAATCATCTTTAAGAAATTGAGAATTTCTTTTATCTAATTTAATCCTATAAAATTAAATTTTATACATTTTATTTGGATCATACCACTTACACGCGTGAGACCTTCAACAAATATGAATAATTATGTTGATGTTCTAGATAGAATATGGATCTTAGAATATGAGGAGAGGAATTTCATGAAAGGAAAATAAAAGGGTAGGCATGGGAAGCTGAAAATCCGAAACATGACGTTGTATGTCGTGTTTATGGTTGCCTAAAATGGATCACATTTTGTCAGTTTTTACAGTGTTCTTGCTCGCATGAAAAGCACGTTTGAGCGCATGTCCTTATTGACTGGTTGGGACCAATTATTATTCTTTTCTTTCTTTCATTTCGGACTTGTGCTCCTACAATGTCCCAAAAATACTTTAATAATGCCGAGGCTATAACACCACCTAAAAATCGTAATTACAAATTATGGGAAAATTGCTTTTCTTGACCAAGCAAAACTAACTATCGCCTGCGCCACCTCAAGAAATAACCACTTGCGAATTGCGATGGACAAAATTAAAATTACCATATTATTTACCTTTTTATTACACCATCATATTAATTACCTTTCAAAACTCTCTATCATATTTATGAATCTCAAACTATCAAAAAATAAATTATTTTTGTGCATTTTTTCCCATTAAATTAGTCTTAAATTGGGTGTAATTTAAATAAAATTTCCTTTTTATGAATCATCATAAAACTTGTCTTTCAACATAAACTTAAACACACTTGAACATCTTACCATCTCCCTTTTCCATATTCGTTTATTTTTATATTTGTCTCTCCTACTTCCCATAACTTTATCGTCCCTCAATTGGACATTATTATATATCCACACACAAAAAAGAAAACTTGCTGATTCAATTCAATGTGATAACGTGCATTATATCATATAATTATCAGGCCTTACATGAATTGTGCTGTTTCTGTTGCGCACTAATAATTTATAGATTGATTATAGCTTTACAATATTAGAAGTCGTACGTATTCATGTTGAAACTTAGAGGGTAGCATTATATTATTCCATGTTCAAATTCTTCCTAGTAATAATGGTCACTGCCAAAAAAAATGAAAAACAATAAAAGAGAGAAAAACAAATATTGGTGAGCGATCTATATCATTCAACTATAGGGAAGGAATCACACGCAAAAATTTCATGTAAAATTGACACGACCCTGTTGGGGTTTCTCTCAGCATCTACGACAGCTTATGTCAGATATCACTTTAGTCAGTAATCACACACACTTTCTTTCGTGCATCATTAAGTCCTACCTTTCATTCTCTTCCATAAGCAAACACATGCACCACACGATCCTTGTCATCGCAAAAATCATTGGATGAAAATAACTTGGCACGTGAATGTTTTGCAAAGCAATAATTAAAATATCTAAATGGGACACGAGTCACACGTTGCTACACAGTGAAGGACCACGGAAAATAATATATGTTATTGTTTTATATAAACTTTTCACAATGGAACTTCTATTAATTTATTTAATGTTGCCTAATGAGACTTGTATTTTCATTTTGTTTTGTTTGTTGACTAAGCAACCGCTAGCCTCCTTTTTCAGCTTCATTTACTTTTCAGCCACAACCCCAGGTTCTTTTCTGCATGAGATACCTCTAACTCAAACTCGTTATGAAATTTGGACAGGAGGAAATAACAAAGGAACTGACTACAATTTGAGGGTAGTAAGGATCTACATTTACTATGCAAAAGTTTGTTAGCTCCTTTATTTCCATTCATTTTCTAACTTCTGGAAAAACCATCCACATTTTCTAACTTCTGGAAAAACCATCCAAGAAAATGCAACACAAACCAAGTCCAATATGCAAGCAGAAAGAAAAAGATAATGAAAAGTCCAATAAATTGCTCGTGTATGTGTGCGTGTTAAAAATTAGAAACTCACATTCCTATTGAGGGAAAATCTTCATCACACCAGCTGATGTATTTTAACAAGAAACATGCATTTATAGTAGGAAATCTAGGAATGAAGTATCCTGATTACTGACATTTAAAAAAAAGGTATGCTATATAAGAAAGGATTACAAATCTGAAATTGCTCTATAACATTAAAATATAATACTCTAAGAAAGGGAGAGGATATATTATATATTTATCCCTATAAATGAGACTGACAAAAAAAGCAGACAATTAACTAAAACTTTGTCGCACAAAACTAGGTAAAATACAAGAAACAAGCAAGAACAAGAAAGAGAGAAATTCTATATGACCAAGGTAAAATGGTAGATTGCTTAAACTAAACAAAATAATTGACATTGCAGGAATAATACTTCTTACGATAAGTTGTGTATATTATAGACAATCATAAATTGGCCGCCCTAGAGGGTCAATAGAAGCTATTATTCTACTTCTCTAGTTCTCACTGATTTAATTTTAGATTCTCTATAGTATAACAAAATTTCTGAAGATGTACATATTTGGCTCTTCTATATGTTTCATGCCTATGGACCATGTTAATTGCAATGCCCCAAATCACAATGTCTGTATGGTGTTGGATTCTTTGGAAAACAATGCAATCAACTTTTCCTTTGTCAACTGATCAGGTCCTTTGGATTTAACTACAAATGTATGGAAAACAGTATCATTTGCAGCTGTAAGTTTTGATTCAACAACACCAATTTCTGCATCTTTGAGCGTTTGAAAGACTATTGAAACGGGGTGAACATCAATAGGACAGCTAACCTGTACAATGACCCCATCTTGTGCAGCTTGAATATCCACATCTAGAGCTCCATTATGATGATTTTCAACTCTTGCGTAGGCCTCGGTTACAGATCCATCCATAGAGGTGCTTCCAAATCTCTCTCTCTCAGACTCCATGGTCTTGAGTTTTGCTTGAAGCTCATTGATGTAAGCAATGGCATCTCCCAACAGCGACGCCTTGTCCATCTTAGAGATATTCGGAACAACAGCTCGCAGAGCATAGAATCGCTGGTTCAGCTTCTCGCGCCTTTGCCTCTCAGCCTCCACATGGTTGAGGGGTTCCTCCCTTCCATTAGCTGGCTTCCTTCCCCGCTTCCTCGGCCTCCTGTCCTCAGCAACATCAGAAATCTCAGACTCAACAATAATTGATCTCCCATTAGGATGCCCTCCACTCTCCTCCATTTTTCTCACAGCAAGTTTCTCCCTGAATTGAGTCACACAATTCAAATCCTGCCCAAAAATCTTTGGAACTCCAATTCCCTCTACTCCTTTTGGTATAACTGCATTATTGGTATGAAGTATCCATTGATTTCGTTGATGATTAATCTCTCTCATAAAGCCTGGTTGCCCACCTTTAGTAGAAGCACTATCCTCAACCACGTTTTTTCCATCCACAATATTTGAACCTGAGACCACAAGATTCAAATCCTGCCCAAAAGTCATTGGAACTGCAATTCCCTCACCTCTACTATTATCATCGTTGCTATTCTTATTCTTATCCCCAATAGCCAAACCAGAAAAAACAGCATTTGCATTCTCATCCCTCTTCTCACTTACCAAATCCAATGGTGCAATTGGCTTAACAACCCTAGGGGGGACTAATGATGCCTGTGAAGAAAACACAGATTTGACAGCATGCAACAACTCAAAGCTCTCACCCACCACCCTCACAGACCCCACCTCCACCACCCCCAAATCAGTAGGCACTAAAACAACAGTCCGAATTCCAGCAGATTTGGCCAAGAAAGACCTCACACAGTAATCAAAACCAGATTTCAACACATCCAATAGCCACAAATGCTTCCCAAAAGCAAAACACTTACCTGGACCCCCAACTCCTCGGGGAAAAGAGAAGTACATGGAAGCAAGAAAGAACATCTCCATGTCAGTAACACGGTCCAACCCAAAAGCATAATTGTCCTCATCAGAACCCCCAAACGAAGTGTGCAGCTTCTGCAACACCCTCTTCCTCATCCTCTGCACCTTCTCATCCTCCACCACCCCTCTCTCTCTCACCTCTTCTCCCTCCCTCGGCTCCCTACAACACCCATCTCCCCACCCCAAAACCCAATCCCCATACTTGGACTGCGAAATCTGCCACAAGATCGCGTAGCTCCAACTGAAGTTCCACGCGTTTGGACGCTCCACCAGATCCGCAAGCTTGTTCTGCAGATTCTCGCCACTCCCAAACGCCATTAACAGATTCTCGTTCGGAACGGAATTCGCCGCTAAGTAATCAAACGCCCCACGACCCAAAACCTCCACCATCGTCGCTTTCTCCTCCTCATTCCACACACCCCCCAATCCCACATCAATCTTCATCCCCAAAACCCAAAAAAATCTCAACTTTCGCAAAACCCAAATCCACAAACCTCAAATCCCAACCTGGGGTTCCGAAAAATCATTGAAACTTAAATGGAGGAAAGGAGGAATAACTGAACAAGGAACATTATGAGTAAAGTAAACCCAGCGTTCAAGTTATAAAAGGGTGTCTGTGTCAACGAGGAAAAACACGTTTATGACCATGTTTCGCAGAAAAGAAGGTCTTTTGAGTCTTTGAGTTTTCTCCCTCACACCAAAGTGAAGGTGATAGAACTAAACAAGAAGCAAAGAAAAAGGATTGTTAGTTTTGAGAGGAAAAAAAATGGCGTGTGAATGAACAAAGAACGATGTCTTACGTTCCCATACACCGAACTCACTTGTTTCTTTCTAAGCTGTAACTGTAATGTGCGAACTAACCAACCAACTATGGTTAAAGTCTGACTAGGGTTACATGGTTGGAAGCTGAGAGGTAGGGCTTTTAGTTGTTTGCGATTGCTCTTATCTATCTAAAAGTCTTCTTGTCAAGCCTGCAAAACATTAAAATGTTTTTTCAAAATACTAATCTATTAATTCATTTTTTAAAATTAAAAAACTTATTTAAATTAGCATGTGGTAATGAATGAGTGGAAGAAATGAAGAAAAGGGTGTTGTAGAGAGAGAAAAGATAAGGACAAGTTCACCTTGGAGTGTTTAAAAGGGTTGATTATGTGAAATTCGTGATACTCGTGCTCAACAGTGATACGCAATAACCCACATGTGACTCACAGTTATGGATCTGTGAGAGGCTGAATTTCGTGTGTGCATGTTAAAGATGGAATTGGTTGGATCTTACCACAAACATGCCACGAGTTTCTGTCCTTTTACCAAATCAAAACATTAAACCAATATTTAAAACTACTTTTTTTAAATAATAGTATTACTACTGTACCAAAAATGAATATCCAACTTCTGCATTTCTTCTCTTGTCTTTTATTTACTTTTTCCAAGTAAATTTATAAATGTGTCATACTGTTCAGAGAAAATAACTTGACGACTCAGCTAGATCTTCGAGTAGATTTTGTCTGTGTAAAATATTGGGAAATTGACTTGCAAAATTGTAACATTGTTCTTCTAGTTCTCTTATTAATTAATTTTTTTTGAAGAAAATAGATAAAATCGTATGTAATTAATGTTTACTTGATCAATAAAGAAATATTAAGAGAATCAATAAAAAGGTAATATAAGAAAATATAACAAAAATATGTAACGACCCCCGCCATGGTCCTACACTTAGTGGAATTGCATTACTACTAGTGAATTAATAGAAATATTAAAACTGAATAACTCATACATACAGGTAGATATAAATATAAGAATAAAAAAATAATTAAGTTTCTATGTACAAAAATATAACACTAAATATGTACAGTCATCCAAAATAATAACTCCCTAGTGCCGGTTAAGTACAAACAACAGTTACCCAAGAAGGTAACTCTGACACTAGGACCAAAACTCCTCATTTCGCAGTGGACACCTCAACTCCAAGCTAGCCCTGACCTGCTCCAATACTAAGTATGATCATCGTAGTTCAACCACATGGAAACAGAAGGGTAAGCTAAAGTTCAAAAACAATCATACAAGCATAAGAATAAACTTCATCAAGTCATTCAATCATGAAGTCAAACATCATACACTTCATCATACAACATTCATGCAATTAAGCAACACATGAAAGATATCAAATGCATATCTATCATCTAATGTGTCGTCACACATATACCTAGGAGATATCCCTAACAACAGAACAATATAAGTGACATCCAAATCCTACCAAAACTACCCCAACTGTTTTCATGCCCAATGCGCCTGCTCGGTCACAGCTAAACAGGATATATATCCTCACTCGGGTTTACTCGAATGATGTCACTTACACAATTGGAAGTCCAGTTCCACTATCAGGTATAGTACAGTTGGGTACAAGCTTACCACGACCTTGGCATGCATTACCAAGTCACTTGTGGAGTTCGTCCACTGACTATTCGCAAGGAACCATGCACCTTCCCTAGTACTTGGTTAAGGGAATAACCCTCGACCTCATACTCTGCTCTAACACTAGCTAAGGACTTAGAGGAGACTCACTCAAACCAGTGGCCTACCTGAGCATCATTCTCACCCAAAACCAGTAGCCTACCTAAGCATCACTCTCATTTATAATAGTGGCCTATACAAGCACCATTCTCAAGAGACTCTATGTGAGCTCTTCCAGTTCGAAAATATTTCCCTCTCCTCAAGTCCTAGGCTAGACACATGCTATAAGGCATCACATGTAATAATCCATCATACACCATACATGGTCAATCCACCATCATGATCAAAATCATCCTCATATGAACATATACATACATGTCATATCTTATTAAAAAATTCATATGTATCATCACTAAGCATACATATGAATCATACACCACTATACATCATATATCAAACATACATGATTAAATCTTCAACTTTAAATATGCATAAGCATCACTTCAAAACAATCATTCATAATAGATTGACGCCCGACGCAGCCTGAGCGCGCCCGACCTAATCTCAACCCAAGAGTCCTAAAACTCATTCATGTCTGGTGTGCTCAGCTCACACCCGATGTCCTTGGAAGAGACTCATAGGAGTCTCCACACGCCGACGCGCTCTCCCTGCACCCAGCATCGTCCACAAAGAGACCTTCAGAGGTCTCCGCGCTCGGTGTGCTAACCCTGCGCCCGACGCCACATCAGTAAAACAACAACAAGTCTACTATCTGATATTGCGTCCGGCGTGGTTCCTCTTACGCTTGGCGTGAACTCATCCAAAGACCTCCTATTTCAATTCACGCCTAGCGTGACTAGCCTCGCGCCCGGCGTGAGTTTGAAATGGTTGCCTTTGATGAATGCACGCCTGGTGCAAGGAACTGGGCCTAGCGCAACTTCAAACAACAGCCTCCAAAACTTTGAAAATTTTCTCCAACACCTGAAAATCAGCAAATTTAGCCACATGCAAACACAGAAACACAATGCATAGGCTCCATACAACTCAAAAACAAATTTAGATTCAACATGCATCTAACATATGCATCCAAATCATCAAAATCCCTCATTTTTCTCAAAACCCCGAAAATGAGACGTTTCTTCAATCCAACCATGGATTCTCAAAATTCATGTATCAATTGAGTTCCTAAACTCACATGCAACCAAACAACCTACATTTTAGCTTCTCTCACCTGAAAATTGGCTCACAATGGCCAAGAACCGAGAAGAAGTAGAATTTTCTTCCGAAGTTCAACCCGGGAACTTCAATCCACCAAAAAGTAAGCTTCCTAGCTTGAATTCCAAGAGAAGATAGAAGAGATTAGTAGTCTAGAAGAGAAGAGGAATCAAACATAGAAATTTGGGAGAGAAAAGAGTTCACGGACCCAAAGTCCTTCTCTCTAAAACTTCTCTCTAAGTTTCCTTGAGAATGAACTTATGAAGTTCCATTCTCAGATAAATCCTTATATACTTTTCTCTCTAGAGTCAACTAAACTCTGAAAATCTACTCACTACGTTACAAAATAGATATGAATATTATTAACTAGTTAACTAGTACTTATTTATTTATTTATGATAAATTACTATACGTATATATATTTTATTAATTAGTACTACTTTTTATGGTTTATTAATTACCATTCGATGGTAATGATATGATGTGGTTTCGCATGAATATACGTTGGATGTATAAGGTGTACTAAATTTATCATTATTAATCGAGTAATATTATGTTTTCTTGTAATATTTTGAAATTTTTAATATTTTCTTAAAATATAAGCAATATATATACCTATATAAAAGGGAATAAGTTTGAATAATTATCTTTTTATTCTCATTTTTATATTGAATATTATTACTATTATATTTAATAAAATTTCTTCTTTCAAAATTTTTTCAAAAATAAATTTTTATTTTTCTATTGAACACTATTATCTTTAAATTTAACAAAATTTCTTCTTTCAAAACCTTTTCAAAATTAAATATATAGAAGTCACGAAGTGTCTCGTTTCTTACTAATTTTAGATAATAAAAAAAGTAATTAATACTACCTCCAAAATTGTATTTAAAACAAGCGAAATACTTTTTATTTTAATTATAAAAAACATAAATTTACATTTAAATAAAGCAATTATATATATATATATATATATATATATATATCTAAATTTTTTTGTGATGCATATGAACGATATATTTTTCAGTTTTTTTTCATAAAAATGAAGTGATCAATGGTGCTTAAACAATATAATATTGATCTAAAATATTATGAGTTATGTTATTTGATATAATTGTCACTTAAACCATTTAAATTTTTTTAAAATAAAATTCAAATTTATGATTAGTTTAAATGTATTTTTTTTCCTTTGTAGTTTAACCATTTTTCTTTCATTTCTTCGTTGTTATGAGATTTTTTAATCTCTGACGTCAAATTTAGTTAAAAGAGTTAAATTATTAATGTTAAGATTATGTCATCATGTATTATGTTAATGAAATATTATATCACAATGATGTTTTTGTGTCTTATTAATATAATCTTATATCATCAAATTTACATCGATATAATAATATTACGTGAACAAAAATATGTTGCATTAATAATAATATCACATTAATTGTATAGCAAATGACTAATTTAAAAAAAAACATGGTTTAAAAAAAAGGATAAATATATAGTATGGATAAATATTTAAGTCTTAAATATAATATATAAATTTAATTTACAACTAATATAAAATAATAAAACTTAAATAATAAAATATCATTTTTAACTAGAGCTGTCAAAATGAGCCAGCTAGGCTCATGTGGGACAACCCACCTTGACCCACTTTAAAAATGGGTCAATCCAACTCGACCCATTTTTAATTTTCTCAAATAATTTTAGTTCGGCCCGGCCCACTATGGGTTGGTAATTATACGGGTCAGCCCACTAGCCCACCAAAAATTTAAAAAAAATTATTAACAAAATTCAAAATTATAAATTAATTATAAATTAACATAATAGTCATAAAATTGACATCATTAATAGCTATAAACCATAACTCATCATATAAAATTAAATATAAATCATGATAAAAGTCCAAAATAAAAAATTTTAATATCCCATCATACAAAATTAACTACAAATCATAATTAATTTTCTATTGCAAAAAGAATTTGGTGGGCTGGTAGGTTGCCTGGCCCACCACGGGTTCAACCTGGGTGGAGCAATTAAAAGTGAGTCGAGTTTAGATATACTCACCTACTATAAAACTTTTATTTTTTTTGCCCAACCTGTCCCGTTTTCAAGGTGGACTGGGTTGACTCACGAGCCACAACCCATTTTGACAACTCTATTTTTAACACTGGTGCAATCTATAATTTTTCATTATTTATCTGCTTTAACGAATAAAAAAAAATCATCTTAATTAACTTAAAACTAATATTACTTTAGTTTTTCTTGAGTC